AAACTAACATCTCTGTGGTTATCACATTCACTGCGAGTACCCTTTTTGAAAACGGGCACCACTATCGATTCACCTGTTTTCTATGACGGCCTCCTCCCAGCTAGACCCGAATAGGCTAGTTAGGCACTGGCTGAGGAATCCACCGCCATCCTTGAAAAGAGCAGGTGGAAGGCCGTCAGGACCTGCAGCACGATGACGCTTGAGTAGAGAAATACATTCGGACCCTGAGACTGAAGGCGTCTCCGTATTTACGGTCCACCTTTCTGTTGAAGGCCACGATTCTGGATTGGAGGTAGCAGATGGCCAGCTGAATTACTGTTCGAAGTACTGTGCCCAGCGGTCCGAACGTTCTGCTTTGCTGCATATCATGGAGCCATTTTGGTCCCTGATTATTTCGCTGACAAGAGGTTTCCGAAGGCCAGTCGAACGAATCAGTGGAACAGCTTGCGCACGTTTACAGCAGTCTTTGCATCTTCCATTTCTTCGGCCTTTCGGGTCCACCAAGCTTCTCGGTCTGCGCGGCCACTCATTTTCACGTGGCGTCGGATGATGCGCCTGGTGGGGTTGTGGCGGCCAGGTGGAATCTGTCGTCGGGTCTTTAGCAAAGACAGTCGTATCAGAGATCCAACGTTCGAATAGGGTTGGCTGGGTTGTATCGCAAACAGACATTCCAGCTTTGAGTAGCGCTCTGGATATTTCCCAGTGGTCGTTTATATCTGACACTGGACAGTCCGGCAGGCATTCGAGGAGCTGGTTCTGATAGTTTCGTTTGATTTCTTTTCACTGGCTAAGCGAGGTGTGCGCGTTTTGCGCACATGCCGGACCGCGAGGCAGATTTAGATTATTTAATATCGTCTGCGTACTCGATATCTGTGAGCGGAGGCCCAGGGAGCACTTTGACCCCACAGGCTTTAGAGGCTGGTAGTGATTCATCCATGATCGTATCAGTGACGAAGTTGAAGAGGAAAGGTGAAAGTGGACAGTCTTGTCTGACACCAATTGATGTGTTGAGCTCAGAAGAGAGCCACCCGCAGACATTTACACGGTTGCGGGAGTCCGCGTACAGCGCCTTAATGAGCGTCAAGAATTTATGGGGAACATCTTTGCTCCGCGGACACTCCCATAGTGCTTGGTGGTCCACAGAGTCAAAGGCAGTTTTCACATGATGAAAAAAACCAATTTTTGATCGCTGGAAGCAATGTCGCTGTCCCAGAATCTGTCGGAGAGTGAAGATATGATCGATGCAACCACTTGCAGGACGGAACCTAGCTTGGTTTTCACGGATCTGCCTCTCTCTGTGTTCAGTCCACCTCTGAAGTATAAGGTCAGAGAGCACCTGCGGCGCCACAGTTAACAGGCTGAGGCCATGATGGTTTTCATATAGCATTCGCTTACCATTTTCGAAAATATGGACATTTGTTGACACATCCCAATTCGCAGGCGCCTTCTCTTCCTTTCACAGCGATAGTTCAGTGGTTAGGGCGCGAATTTACGGACCGCAAGGTCCGTGGTTCGAATCCGATCTCCGCCTCTCGACTTCCCCTGTCTAGGCTTGGGCAACCTGGCAATATCCCAGCCCTCGTGCTTCCTTCGGGTGGCATGGCAGCTAGGCACCGCAAGGGTGCTACAGCTGCACGCTGCGGTGCGCTCCATATTACTATATGGATCAGAAACCTGGCCGCTGCGCGCCGAAGACGTCAATGGACTTTCAGTGCTTGACCATCGATGTCTTCGGAGCATTGTCCTAGTCTGGGGAGAACACCGGGTCAGCAATGTTGAATTAGGTCAATTAGTTTTCGGAAGAAATAGCTCACCTTCGATAGATGAACTGATCACACTGCATGGGTTGCGCTGGCTTGGTCACGTACTGCGTATGCAAGTTGACCGACTTCCTCGAAGCGTTCTTTTCACACAACCACGTTAAGGGTGGAAGAGAGCCAGAGGAGGTCAAACAATGACTTAGCAGCGAAATATAAAAGTCATTATCGGCAAACTCAGCTGCGCTGGTCACTACCGTCTTCCTGGATGGGGACCCCGAGACGGGCCACATCAATGGTTAGAGACATTGTCAGATATGGCCCAGTCGCGCCCCCAATGGCGCTCATGCATCCAAACTATTGCCTATGCACAGCACCTTTTCCAACCCCTCGATTGGCAGCCCACTGACAGTGCTGGGTTTATGCACCAATTTATCAGCTCCCACTTGCAATGCGCAGCTACCTATCCCAGTATCCCGCATCATCGGTGAACGAAACTGCGGCAGCTACAACCACTGTACGACGAGTACGCGGTTATTACAGCTGATGATGATGATTTCGTACCTTATTTCGTCTTCCGACGGGCGATCAAGGTTACTATTCCATTCGCCCGCAGTCAAGCCGATCTGTGCGCTCAGTCGGTTGCGGTTTTGAGGTCATCAGGCGATATTTTATGGATTTCTGTTAGGAAATCTTTACAATGGATGTCTATTGGCTTGGTGGTCATCACCGTTAGTCCTAGGAGCGTTCGGGGCGGGATGACTCAGTGGTTAGAGCGTGAAGTTACCAACCAGTAGGTCCCTGGTTCGAGCCCGATCTCTGCCCCTCGACTCCCCCTGTCTAGGCTTGGGGGACTTGGCAGTATCCCACCCGTCGTGCTTCCTCCGGGTTGCAGGAGGCACTGGAAGGGTGTTACAGCTGATATGTAGGAACGTTTATTTAAAACCTGCCTTCATATAGCATGTTTCTGGCCCGAAGACGCGCTTTCATACACGCCACCCTGTCGTCATGTCCGCACAATTGGAACACTCTAAGGTTTCGGTAGGAGTTATCTTCGAATTTCTTGTTGCAGTTAGTTGAGGCATTGAGTGCGATGGCTCAAGTGGTTAGAGCGCGAATTTACTGACCGGAAGGTCCGTGGTTCGAACTCTGCCTCTCGACTCCCTCTGTCTAGGCTTGAGCAACCTGACAGTATCCCAGCCCTCGTGCTTCTTGCGGGTGGCATGGTAGCTGGGCACAGAAAGGGTGCTACGGCTGAACGGCAGTTAGGGCATTTGCGGAAATTAGGAACAATGGAGGCTCCTTCGGTCACTGTTTTCGATTCTGGTAAACCTTACCGGTCAGAGTTCTGTTCAAGGAAACCTAACTTGGAACTTTTCTGGTCCTCAACCCAGTTTTAATCAACTGAAATACAAAGCACTGCTATGGGGTCCTCAAAACCTTTGGTAGAAAATCCCAGGGAAGCAAAGTTTTATCAGTGGGGTTTGGTGTATACGTTTCGGAGGCAATAGGAACAACTTATAGGCCAGGGTCTATGATTGCGGGATTTGTTTGGGTGGAGGGTGAACATTAAACATCGCTCCGTTGGAGAGATTCTTTATAGTTTGAAGCATATGCTTTATTTTCTCGTGTTGATTAGTCATCATCATTGACAGCTTGGTATCGTTGTTCAACACCGATGCTTCACTGCCGTACAACCATGATTCATTTGGAAGCTTTATTGTAAAGAAAACAATAAAGGTGGATCACGGAGGGACTTAGTGCTAGCTCACCACAATCATTCCGGGGCGCCTGCACCTCCAGACATTCACTCAGGCGATCTGGATAGAAACTGACACAAAGAACGCTACTGACGTTGGTTGGCAACCATATCTTGTAGTGTCTCCAACCAGGCGCAGTGAGGGTCATGCTATCCCCATCCTGGAAGGCGAACGGCACCGACAACACCCAAGCGTTTCGTGATCTCCATACTGCTTTGTCAAGTCAGTTGAATTGGGTATGGAAAACAGCACCCTCCGACAAACGATTGCTGGGCATACGCATCACGTCCCAACGAACGCAGCTTCTGGTGCTGGATACGTTCAATGGAAGCATCCTTTTCAGACGGAGAACGACCTTTCTAACTGCCTCATTACGGATTCGACGACGCCAACCCACACGAGCTATCGTTCTGAGACAACGATTGTTGAACACCCAAAGACGCCTCAGTTTCGCTGCTCGAATAGGCCAAGTCTCACAGCCATACAACAAAACACCCCGCACTGTAGCTTGATACACACATCCCTTGAGATTCAGGGATACACCACTCTAACGTCATAAGTGTTTCAAATCAGCAAACGCGACCCGGGCCTTGCAGATTCGTGCATTGATCTCATCTGTCACACTACAATCAGAACTAATACAACTTCCAAGGAACGCTCCACAACTTCCACTACCTCTCCCTGGATTGTAAGTGGCGTGTTCAGTAACTGCATGTCCACGATCACGACCTTACACTTTGTGGGTGCAAAATGCATACCAAAGGACGGGATGACTGGTTAGTCATTGTTCTTTTGATTGAGTGAGAGACGGGATCGTGCCGTCAATCGAGTGATCTGAGCGATGAGTGTTGGTTTGGAAGTACTTGTGACGGCTGCTTGTGTAGATGCTACCTCCGGCTTACCTCAACCGGAGAAGGAATCGGTTATTTTGCTCTCAGCCTCCGACTCACCTATAAGGCACAATGTGTTTTCTCCCGGGACGCTGATCCTAGTGTGACCCAATTTTGTTGGATTAACTCATGTTATGGCTTCTGGAAAGGGATACCTCGGAACCAAGGACTCGAAAGTCAAACCAATTAGTAGGGGGGATGCTTGGCCCTGCCCCTCAGTGCCTTTGTAGTGTATACGTTTAGAGTGCCATCAGAAATGTTTTCTGTTGAAGGGAGCCTGCATGTCGTTCTCATTCGCAGACACAACCTTCTGGAATTCGATATAACTCGTGTGAGTGTGGTGCTTGTCTGGACGAATTTCCAGTAGTTGGGGTCAATCTAATCAGCACACGAAAACAGCAAACTTCTGTGAAATATGTATATAATCACGGTGAGATTTAAGCTTATGAGGGGGCTACAACAGTCTCATTGGTATGTTTAACCACATTTTACACTAGTCTTATTGTTTGGATAGCCTACCTGATATGCTTGTCATGTTTCATTCCTAATCTTTTCGACTGATGTCCTTTGTTCTTTTCAGCCCCAACTCCGTCATGTCTGTCATCATTCGACTTCAAAACCTACCGATGTCAGCCAATGCTTCAAATATCAGACGGTTTTTTGGGGGCCTCGCTATTCCTGAAGGTGGTGTTCACATCGTCGGTGGCACCGATGGCGACGCCTTCATAGCTTTTGCAACGGATGAAGACGCGCGCAAGGCAATGCTTTTGGATCGACAAGCAATCAACGGAGCGCCTGTCCGCCTTTTCCTTAGTAGTAAAACCGAAATGCAGTCGGTCATTGAGTCTGCCAGAAGCTCGGCTCTTTTTTCTGGTGTCGTTAGCACGCAACCTTCTCAGCCTCCGGCGCAGAAAACGGAAACCATGCAGGCTTTGGATGTCACAGCGCCGACATTACCCAGCTCATTCCCATCTTACCGGAGCGATAATCCTCGTGATGTGCAGCCAGTCGACCGACTTGACCAGTTTGGTTATCCTATCAAAAGACATGTCAGCCCGCCTCCTAGTTCGACAAATGTAGGACCCCCGCAGTACGAGGTCCCTCGTGATGATCCATATGGCGAAGACTACGTTCGGCATCAACCTCGCGTATCTGAGCGCCCGAACCAACCAGAACTGATACATAGGGACCGAGATTATAGTTTTGATCATTCCACAGTTTCTCAGTATGCTCGTTACGACGTACCACGTGATCGTCGAACTCCACCAACTGAATACGGTGGTCCGGTCAGAGATTCCAATGGCTTCGAATCAGCTAGTCGAATGTCTCCACGTCCATATGCGCCCTATTATGGGGATTCTACATACGACAGACGACCTGAAACCCAGTTTCCACGGCCCAAAGATGGCCCGCGAGATGATATTCGACCGGCTTATTCTGATGGACGATACGGAAGAATACCACCTGAACCCCCAACTGGATATGACAGCCGCTCACCGAAGCATCCTACGGAACGTTTCATTCCTCCTGAACGAGTTGTGCGTGATCCAAGAGATGTTCGTCCGGACTCGGGTCAAACGGCTCCTGTCCCCTTTTCCCATGATAATCGTTCACGCACCACTTTTCCCTACGATCGCGAACCTGCTTTTCCACCACCGCGTTCGCAAGTTGAACGTGACTTTTCTGTCCGTCCACCTTGGCTTAATGAGGATGTTCCTTCATATGGCTCAAAACGCCCTCCGGCGCCTCCACCTGAACTAGATGATTATCCACCCAAACGTCGACCACCGCCCTCCAATGCTCGGCCCACACAAGAGAGGAATTCACCTTCTGAAACAGACTTCGTTGTCCGGGTTACTCTTCCCATCGGGGAAGTTGGGATCAAGGCCATTTTTGAAGTGCTTCGCGGTGTACATATTATTCCAAAGTGGGGTATTCGTATTGAAGAAGATGCCTTGCAACGGCCGACAGGCTATGTCTTCATTATGATGAGTGCACGTGACTCATTCGATCGGGCCTTGGCCTATGATGGCCGCATGTATAAATCAAAACCGGTTAAGGTTGTCCCCTCTTCTTTGTCAGAATTCTACAAAGTAACGGACTCTAATTTTCACCTCAAGTGCCCGGCTGATATTGCTAAAAAGTTACCCCCTCCTGGTCAACCTGTCACTCCTCCGCACCACGCTGACGGATGTCTGGAGGTTGCTGATTTACCACCGGATACTAACAGAGCTGAAATTGTTCGCTTTCTTGGTGCACCTGGTCTCTCGGCTTCTGATGTGACTATCGCCACGTTCGCTCCAGGCGACAAAAGTGCAACCAAAACACCTGGTTCAGTACGTGCCCTGGTTTCGTTGCCTTCGGCCAAGGATCTCGAAATTCTTCTTTCCGCGAAAGCCCGACCCTTGCGTCCGGACGGTGCCTTCCCGCCTGTGCGTCTTACGCCCATTTCACGCTTGCAGCTTGAAGCATATTCAGCGTTAACTGTAGAAAGCAAGCCGAAATCAGAACAGGCAGTCTCGAGTGAGCCTGCCGTCTCTACTAGTCCACGCGAAACCCCCAAAGCTGTCACCGGAAGCCTTACGTGTGCGTACCTGTCAGGGTTGGCTCGACCTCTTAAAGATTCAGATGTTCTCCGCTTGTTCCCGTCGGTTTTGATTCCGGGTGATGCTATCCGCATGGTTGGGCCAGAAAATACGAGCGCATATATTGATCTTATCAGTGAAAACAATTGTCGCCGTGCCATCGAAGATATTACGGGTAGTGACTCTAAATCGAAGTTGGCCCATCCTTCAATTCGCATCGAAGCTATTACTCGTGCGGAAATGGAGAGTCGCGTGGCAGCAGTTAAGGGCTCGGAGCCGGTTGGGTCACAGCATCCATCGGATCATCGACCTAGTCGTCCACCGCGGGATCATGACCCACGGGATACTGGACGTCCTCACTGGGAATCCCGGCCTCCACCTCGAGTAGGTCGGCACTCCTCGCCAGGCCCCCCACCCTTCCGCCCACGATCTCCTCAGTCAATGGGCCGATCTAAATACGATGAACCCTATTATGATCATGCAGCCCATCCACAACCTTTTGAAGATGGCCTTCACAACGACCCGTATAATGGTCCCGTACGTAGGCCGCGTCCTCCCATGGACTTGCCGCACGGCGCACCGCCACCACCGAACGACTACGTGCTTCCCCCTCGCCCCAGTGATTCGCTACCTCCACCTCGTCGACCAGGATTGGATTTTGTCACTGTCCACCTTAGCAACCTTCCCCCATCAGTAACTGTGGATCAGCTATCGGGTATAATGCGAGATTATTATTTTGTCCCTGGTTCCATTCGTCTGCGCAGGGATATTCAAGGTGTACCGACAGGGGAGGCTTTGGTTGATTTCAATTCAGCTTACGACGGTGATCGCGTCATTCGGGACCTGCATGGTTATCGAATGGCTGGAAGACCTCTTGTGCTCCAATATGATCGCCGGATGTAGAAGAAACCCCTGAGCCACTTCTTGTATTGGATCCTTGTCAAAGGTAAGACACCATTCTGAGCACATGCAATTTCCCCTAAGGTCCAGACTTGATAAGAAATGAAGGCCAACGAGTATAGATCATAAGTAATCTGTTCAAGGTTCGCCATGTTTGGTTGTAGTATTGGGCTCAGAACAGAAACCATCCAAATGTCTACACCAATTGAATTGTGTTTGTGTTCGCCACTGCCTTGGGACGGTCAGTGGTTACCCATGGAATAGGCTAGGAAATCCAGGTAACTCAGGTTTTTGTTGGACCTAGTTTGATTGGGTGTCCAGGGGATTGTGGTCATATGTTTAATGGCAGACTTTCAATCCTCACTGGGGTCTTAATCGATCAGCCTTTTGGATTGCAGCGTACTTAGCTTTTTTCATGCGCAGCTGTGAATCGGTGTCACCCTAACTCATCTAACCTCTACAACGATTGCAGTAGACCACCAAAATCGTCAGTGACACTAAAGTGCTCCATTGTCGCTTCCAACGACCAGAACCACTGTACACGTGCACGCGGTTCATGGTTGAAAACTGATCTGAGTTCATTTCGGAAACAAGTGACTATCCATCCTTGTCGCGTTCTTTTCCCTGCCCATGTTGCTCACTTTTCCCGCCTTTCAACTGTGATCAGTTTGAACTTTAGTCAAGTTAGACAGATTCTACTTTACATGGGTACTTTTGTTTTTTCTGAAGATTAGATTATTCGTCAATACAGTGTGTCCCACACAAAAATTTCGGTATTGGTCTTCTCAAATTTCTCCTTTGGAACTAGGTGCCTAAGCTACTCATAACAAATCTCTGTGTTGCATCATTTGATGTTGAAGAGGGCTTTGTGCTACAGCGCAGTTGTTACATTCTCGATCGACTAGACTGTTGGGTAAGTGGGTGCGCTGACAATTTCATTGCGCTCCAATGCAACCCATCCTCATTCGTAAAGCCATTCGGTGCGCCAGTTTTTTTTAAATTCAAGTGCAAGAAATTTCACCCGCATATTGCTGCATAGTCTTGCTTCAGCCTGGAGGTTTTCTTGGAGATGATCAATAAACGTCCGTGATGAATAGTTGGCATCACAACTGTTAGGTAATCTGATTGGTCGAAATTTCACGCGTCGAAACCTGGCAGATGTTGGTTATCCATTCCATGGCACATGTACGTTTGGTCATGTGAATGATATGCTTGCACTCGCACTTGCAGGTGCTCTATTATCAGGGTTTACAAATCTGAGATTGTCCAATGTAACATAAAATGAAAAACTAATTGACGCAGCATTTCGCAACTCACACTGACCCTTTTAACAAGCCTCTGTTGGAGATCAGTGCCCGGTTACACTTCCCTTTTACTATCCTGCCAAACTGTTCATCAGTGATTAGGCCATCGACTTTGCAGCCTGCTTCAGGGTACAAACCTGTATCTAAAAATGACTTACTGTACTTGAATATCCATCGAACCTTGTTTTTCGCTAGTATCAGCCTAACATAAGAAAGGGTGCCCACTCAGTTTTTATCACCCAATTCGGGTCATGCTACTTACTTCGTAAGTTCAATTCGTTGTAGAATCTTAGCTCAATGTCGACCTGTCGGACTATGATCTGTTGCCTGATGCCTCGAGTGAAACATGGAATTAATGGGCGACACTTGACTTACGAGTAATTTCTATCGATATGCAACTTCTATACCTTATTTCACTGTTGTATCATATCCACAATGGAGTAGATATTTGGCTGTGCACGACAACAACTGTATATTATTTAAAGCTACTAGCTACAAGCCGTGCCTCATGTTTTCCGGACTCGGTGTGCCAGGAATGACCTCATGATGGCTGCTACAGCGGAATTTGTCTGCCTTCACTACCGTCGTACTGCGAACGAGGGAGTTCCTCGGTTTCGGCAACGGTTGTGGATAAAGTCGGAGCTCTTGAGCTACTGGTCCAGACACTTGTGGCGTTACAGAATGATTCAGCAGGAGCGTCCAACCTTACAAATCAGCAGCTCACATATTTATTATCTGCTTGTGAACGATTTTTAGCTATGGCTCAGTGTCCGTAATGAGACAAAATCTACGCGGTATGTCATGAAAAAAACCGGACTCCATTGTATTTTGGGTGAATCCCTAAATCCATCCATCTGTTGTGTGCTAGGGTTTACCTTAACAAGCCCAACAGTTATTCCAATAATCAAAATTCGGTGGTGAGGAGCGGCGATTCAAATCAAACTTCTAGGTTAGTGAACTGCTCGGAGCCATTTTTGGCGCAACCCACTGTTTTGCATCGGTGGTTTGACCAATGCCGCTGTCGGTTAGGCCAGAAGATCAACTTTCATAGTACCTCAGCGATAAGGTGGGCCAACCGACAGCGTTTGATGCTGGTATCTCACAAGGCGGACAACGTTTGATCGTGAAATATTTACCAACTCGGGAACGTCTGTTACTTCATCCAGGAATGAAAAGTTAGTAAAGTGCTGTGAAATTAGGCATGAATTTGGACATTTTTTCGCAACACCTGAGCAGTGAATTTTGCAGATTGAGTGAGTGTGTCGAGACCAAAGTTTTGCTAACCCTATTTTGTTCAAGTAGCCTGGTCCTATCCTTTTGTATGGGCTTTGGACGCGAAGTTTTTACGAGTATGAGGGTTGCAAATCCAAATTCAGTTGGATTACTGGATTTCAAGGCTCAAAGCTATAGTCTTTCGTCTAAAAGCACCTTATGGGGAGTCGTTCGCATGAAGGGTCGTGGCGGTAGGCTTCTTGTTAAGTATTTCTTACGTGCTTATCTGGGCCTTATTCTGTCTGACCAAAAGACAATAGCAGTTCTTTTGGATACATGCCTTTCGCTCTCCTATCCTATCTGTTCTTTGACGATAGCTGCGAACATCTGCTTTTCGTTTGAGTGCTAGTTATCGATCATCTTTTAGTCCATTCTAGTTAATAAATAACCGATTAAAATGTTCCATTTGCGGAACCGTTCCAGTCACACGAGGTAATTCATCTCAATACCTGTTCACTGGCGGCCGGACAATCTTGAAATTTAACGTAAGCCGATTGCTCAGCGATTGATGATTGCCTGCTTCCAGGGTATTTACGCTAGTAGATAAGAAAAACCGACACTCGCTGAAAAATGCTACTGGTGGGACGGAACGTTGATACTATAAAATGACGCGGCTCATAATACTGGTACCTTGAATTTCGGTTTCGCTTGATGGATTTGGGCATGCCGAAAGTCCCATCAGTTTGGGGGGAGCCAATGCTTACCGGCTTTGTATCTTGCTGCCACACCGCCACAGGCTTCGCTCGCCACTTGGGATCACATGATCTGCGTCAGTGACCTTCGATAACCCAATCCAGTTTTGAAAATTGGGAAAGCACGTACCTGAACCCTTGAAAAAATGGTCAGTTATTTTAACCTTATGCAGCATAAATGTTGGTAATTGCTGTTGTCATCTCTGCCCGAAGTTCACTATTCTCATCAGTCTTAGAGCAAATTTCCTGCACGAAACCACCACAGAAAAACGCCTTCAGGCCGTTTTACTAGTAAATGTTGAAACCATCCTGCATCTCTTGCAATGCGTAATTGAACACGTCTTGATTCAGGATGGGTACGTCAGTGGGACCTATGCTGCTCACTGCAGTTCTTGAGCCACTTTCGGCACCGCGTGGGAGTTGATGGGCGGCGTATGATCTTTGAGATGCGTGGTCCCAATCGTACACCGACCGGCTAGTGATATACAGTGCCCCATTACTGTAGTGTGAGCCTAGACGACCTTATATTCTTCCGAAAGTGATACTGAGGGACAATTATCGTCTTTGTGCTAATTTTAACTGGCTTAACCTGTCCTTTCGAATTGCATCCTATACTCTCCGGTAGAGTGCCAGGTGCCAGTGGTTTAGAAGATTTTACGCTGCAATTCGAACGACTGGGCATACAGTGCTTCTCGACTTTGCAGGGTCAATCTGGGTTGCGCTTCTCCTTGAATAGCAGTAGGACACGACCAAGATCTTTCCAATATTATGCTAGTTGGCTGCAATCGTCAGGCTGATCTGGGCTTCATTGCTTCCTGGGCTTTGATGTAGGTCTCGCTAAAGATCGTGGACTGCTATAGGTTCCCGTTCCACAGTGCCCATACTAATTTCTGCCCTGGTCTTTTCAACCTCACAAGAGTTTTAGTTGACCTGTTCCCCGAATTCATTTATCTGGTAAGGATATTGCGTTTTAACAACAGGGTCGCATTTGCTTACTACGCCATGTGATTAATTTAATCTGGTTGACCGTAGTCCGTAGCGATAGTACTCTCAACAATACACTTGCAGTAACAGATTTCAAAGAACCATGACGTTCAATCAAGAAAAAGCCTGTAGGATATAGTTGGTGTAAATTGATTTAATCGTGTTTTTAAACATTTCTGGCTTTAACCATGTACAGCCCTAACATTTAAGACAATATTAGAATTGCGGTTGTATCTCTGTCCAGCTGTGTCCTTTCTGTCCAGTCGCGTTTCTGATGAGACTTCTAAAACTGTCATTTCCACTGATTTTTAGGTAAATACAAGACNCCGTAGCGATAGTACTCTCAACAATACACTTGCAGTAACAGATTTCAAAGAACCATGACGTTCAATCAAGAAAAAGCCTGTAGGATATAGTTGGTGTAAATTGATTTAATCGTGTTTTTAAACATTTCTGGCTTTAACCATGTACAGCCCTAACATTTAAGACAATATTAGAATTGCGGTTGTATCTCTGTCCAGCTGTGTCCTTTCTGTCCAGTCGCGTTTCTGATGAGACTTCTAAAACTGTCATTTCCACTGAGTTGTAGGGAAATACAAGACTGGTATTCCAAAGTTACCCCGGATTGCTTAGGGTTTCCTGGATATACGTGGAGGTTTACGTATACATCTTCCCTACCGCACTAAATCGCCCTCAAATCATCCCATGTAGCAATCAAACTATTCCTCAGTCATCTACTTTAGCCTCCATG